GCAGAGAGCAAAGCAGACGGGAGAGGACGAGGACTGAAAAGAAGCAACGGGAGGAAAAGGGAGGGCAGATGACTGGACGGATGGAGTGGTGCTAAGGTGTGCGATTGAGAAAGCAGGGGCGGGGGAGCAGTCCACCTGTTTGCAGAGATAAACACAAGGAGGGCCCCAAAAGCGCAGACTGTGGCTTTTAGAAGGATCTGACTGACAGTCGTGACATTTAGAAAGAGCACAGTAAACAAGGTCTCACAAATAGCAAAGGGAGAGAAGTGTGGCTATTACACACTTCGAGACGAACTGTACACACCGATGCCTCACATTAGGGCAGGAACAAAAGCCTTGTTTGCATACAGACGCATGCACACCGAGCTGCGTGTGCTCAGGAACCTTTAGGTCGATAAAATCAGATGAGGTTAGGCTGCAGATGAAAATGGCAATAAGCACATTCTTTTATTAGATTCAGTGCAAAAAAAAAAAGATGGAACAAAAAAAAATGAAACACACAACAGAGGCAGACAGAGAAGGTAAACATGTCTCCTGATTAATCCGGCAGAGGATGATCAGTGTTGTTTCTTTGGCCTTTTGTCTCTAATTAAAGTGAGACGTATGAAATGCTGAGCTGCCTTCCTCGGGGCTGAACGCATCTCTAGAACGTTCTGTTCTCACCTTTTCCTGATAAAGGCACAATGATGAGGAATTTACAAGTACCTATTAGGAAATGTCACCCTGCCTGTGGCTGCACGGGGTGTTTTGGTTTGTGTGTTGCATTTTACAACACCGCAGTAAAATGTGATCACATTATCTAAACGCACATTACCAACGTGTCAACTACCACAMGTTGTACGTTCATGGGTTGGAAATTTATTAGGACTTTTTCTCAGCCTAATGGGACAATTCTTATTTTACGCTCTTCAAAGGCACAGCATCACATGTTCTCCTTAAAAGTAACAGAGAAGCTCTTAAGAGTGCTCGACATGCACCTCCTTGTGTGTGTGTGTGTGTGTGTGTGTGTGTGTGTGTGTGTGTGTGTGTGTGTGTGTGTGTGTG